TCATTGATGTTTGCTGATAGCGAGCTTGCAAGGAGATGTTAAATGTCATTTTCATTCTTAGAAGAAGTGTTAACACTACCACATCCCTCCTAATCCTCTAACTTCAAGGATTTTAGAAATATTCCTGGTGTTAAAGGGACAAAGCGGTGTACGTTCATCATCCAGCCATGTGACCTATGGACTTCCCTTTGTCATCCTATGCCTGGATTAATACAAAAGGGGCTGGGAAGGCAAAGGGACGGCCAGTTGTCATGCAAGCATCTAATGTACCACCGCTGATTTAAATCCTTTCTGCAGCTGTTAGCTGTATTTCCAAGATGAGTACTAATATTTAGTGACCAGTGACCTGCTGACTACCCATATCACAGAGCCATAACCCACAGACTATCTCTGAAAATAATCTGCGCTGCCTGAGGTTGCACTGATAGCCACCTTCACCTTCAGCTGAAGTTAAACCTGCCACTCATCCTGGCAACTTGCCTGTTGAGGTGAAGTTCTCTATCAAAGGGAATCCACCGCCTTAATCAAAATCACATGAAAACCTATACTTCTATAGTGACTTGGTACTTTTATCTTTGACTGTCAAAGTGAGCTCTTATTAAGTCTTATGCATACACACACACACACACACATATGCATATATACATATACATATATAAAAAGATAATAACTGTATAGTGCTGCGAACAGTATTTACCCCCTTCTTCATTTCTTAATTCTTTGCAGTAAATTATTTCATTTACTGTGGGGAAAAAAGCTATCCAAATCAATCTGACCCAATTTGAAAAAGTAATTGCCCCAGGGCAAAAATGGCATCCCTGAGAGAGTTGCAAGGAGAAAACCCAAAATTCCTCACAGTGATGTGAAAGGCTCATTGCCAGTTATCACAAACACTTGATTGCAGTTCTTCCTGCCGATGGTGGCACAACCAGTTAGCAGGTTTAGCCAGGTACATTTGGATTGCTTTCTCACTTAATAGATGAAATCATCTTTTAAAAACTGAATTTTGAATTTACTCTAATATTAATAGCATGTCATTTTTTTTTTTGGTGATCTGAAACATTTAAATGTGCCAAATATGTGAAAAACAAAGAAAGGAGGCAAATACTTATTCTTGGCACGGAAGCTTTTCAATGTCCAGTTCGGGAAATTCAGGAAGTCCAAGCAATTACCCTTCTGGTAATAGCAAGTTGTTTAATGTTTCAGAATTGCTTAAAAAAAAAATGATTAAAAAAAGAAATTAAGGAAAGTGAAAAATGAATACTGAATATATTCAATCCTCTTAACATGAGAAAGTCCAGAAACAAATCCACTCAGTTATAGAGTGAAGAGTTATATTATACTGAATCGTGTTGTGTGTTTGTATGCATGTGTATCTTGATGTGTGTGGGCATTTACCTCTTTATTCACCAGTGTCAGGCTTGCGGACAAAGGCCATTTCTTGACTTGATCACCTGTCCATAGTCACTGGATGACTGCACCAATTTTCCTCACAGCAGGTACCCCTGTGGGATCCACGTGTGCCCTGAGGTGTTGTCAAAGAAAGAAAGATAAAAAAAAAAAGTGAAGGGGAGAAAACAGCAGTTAAGTTTAAATGGCTGTGCCTGTGGGTTTTAGACCACATGTAACCACCAGATCTCTCTTTTTCCCCAACATAGTCCCAAACATTGCACACAACACAAGATGAAAGAAGTGTGGTGGATAGATATGCGTAATCTTCCCCTGTGGTGTTTTTGTGATGTCTGGGCAATCCTGTAGCTAATCCTACTGCGCCTGTGTGCGAATATCCATGAAACAGCTATAACCATGTGACTGCCAGAAATGCTGTAGCAATCAAATTGGCTCCACAATATTCTAACATTTTGTTTAAATTATGGGAATCAGTGCTTTACAACAAATCTATGGGTGTTTTTGTCTGGTTACCCTCTTACAAAAAGGTTATATTCTAAAACAGGTCAATTCCTGTTGCCGTAAGAGCACATTTGAGTCAAAAACTGCAGGACCAGTAGCACATGTCAAAAATCATTGTGCAGGTGCTCCTCCTCTTAACAACCACTTTTGGTAACACAACTA